AGGAATTAAGGAACCTTGTAATGAGGGTGAAAGAGGAGAGTGCAAAAAACGTTCTGAAGCTCAACATCAGAAAAACTAAGATCATGGCCACTGGTCCCATCACCTCCTGGGAAATAGAAGGGGAAGATATGGAGGCAATGACAGATTTTACTTTCTCGGGCTCCATGATCACTGCAGATGGAGACAGCAGCCACGAAATTGAAAGACGCCTGCTTCTTGGGAGGAAAGTGATGACAAACCTTGACAGCATCCTAAAAAGCAGAGACATCACCTTGCCAACGAAAGTCCGCATAGTCAAAGCTATGGTTTTTCCTGTAGTGATGTATGGAAGTGAGAGCTGGACCACAAAGAAAGCTGACCGCTGAAGAATTGATGCTTTTGAATTGTGATGTTGCTCTTGAGAGTCCCCTGGACTGTGAGGAGAACAAACCTATCCATTCTAAAGGAAATCAACCCTGAGTGTTCACTGGAAGGACAGATCCTGAAGCTGAGGCTCCGGTACTTTGGCTATCTCATGAGAAGAGAAGACTCCTTGGAAATGACCTTGCTGTTAGGAAAGTGTGAAGGCAAGAGGAAAAGAGGACAACAGAGGATGAGATGGTTGGACAGTGTCATCGAAGCTACCAGAATGAATTTGACCCAACTCCGGGAGGCAGTGGAAGATAGGAAGGCCTGGCGTGCTCTGGTCCATGGGGTCACGAAGAGTCGGACACGACTAAACGACAAGCAAGAGCAAGTGCTCAAGTAAAGAAGACTGTGAATGAAGTACATAATGAAAATTAACTCAGGCACAGAACTGTTTAATAGGTTTAGGTAAAAAGATGTACTGTATAGCTGAATAGATGAAACATATACAATTGCAGCTGAGGAAGATTAAAACAAAGTACATAGACAAGTTCAAAAAAGAGTTTAAAATTGCACACAGTCACAAGCAATTTATTTTAAAAAACTACTTCCACTGAAAAACCATTATAACGTTACAATTTCTGCCCCCTGATAATGGGTTGAAGATATGATTGGTACTCAATTTGTTTTGCTTAAGCTGGGTGTGGTGGCAGTGCTATCCATGGGCCGGCCACGTGCAACCACAATCAGATCCCACAAAGGCCTTTTATGTTCTCTAGGACAAGGGTGGGCAATTTCCAGAAGTCTGCAGATTGTACATGTCTAGCCATAGACCCTCAAGGGCTGCAGCTGCTCCTTTGGCTGCCCATCCCAAAATATATTTGTTTAAAGTTTTTTTAAAACTGAAAAAGCCCTCTCATGCATTCTAGTCGCCAGCATGTATTTATTTTACAACTTGGGTGTATGGGGCCCCTCTTGGTAATGATGTGGCAAAACAGCAAAATAGCCACACACAAATGTGGGATTCTTGATGAATTTTTTAAAAAATACTAATTCCATTTAATTTCTTTAAAATGTGGGTGTCAAACTGGAGGCTCCAGGATTGTTAGGAGCTGTATTTGGCACCTAGGGTTTACACACAACCTATGATTTACCCTCACTGGAGAGCAATTTCACCAGTGTGTGCTTCCCAGACCACTGGAGTTGCCCACCCCTGGCTTAAAGGATGAAATATAGTTTAGGAGGCAGGTCTGCCTGAGAAATGCAAAGAGGACTATGTAAAACACACACACACATGTGGTCATTATGCATACAAGACAGAGGCATAGCCCCGCCACCCCTTATGCAGTAACACTGCACAAAGCAATAATCTATTACTTATTGTTCCTAGTCTCATCTCCAACTTTATTTATAAACTTTATATGCTTCATTCATAGCTGAACTAATTTACCTAACTGCTATGTTTTGTATGCACAGATATGACTCAGCAAATTTCAGTTGTCCTTTATTCTAGGTACTTGAGGGGAGGAATCAGTCAATCTACGAAGATGAAGCATCATTGGGGTGAAACATCTTAACATGGGCATAGTCTCAAACTGGAACGGACAGTCCTGGTATCTGGGTCCCAAGCTGTGAAGGGGCTGAAAAGTCAAGTCAGCACTTTGATTGGAGTTGGAAGCAACCACTGGGAAGATGTGTTAGTTATTCTCTGCTTTCCAAACTGCCTTCAGGGACATGCACTGCACACCCACACCCCTCCTTCCTTGGATACTAGTCACTGGCTAATCCCCAGCTCTCCTTTTTTCCCCTTTAGTTTTATCTGTGAACAGATGGCCTAGCACTAAACTAATGTATCAATGAAGTGATTCAGCACTACAGACCTAATTGTTAATTTAAAGTAGTTTTTTTGGAGAAGACACTAGGGAGACAGATCCCTGGGTGAGTGTTCCTGCTGTCCCAAAATATCACACTCAGCTTAGTGTGTCACCAGAACACCAGCCAGAGTCATACCGTGTCCTTTTGTAAAAAGAAACAAATGATCACAGGGAAAACACTGAATTGTTCCCAGTTGAAAACTGTAGAAGCCCCGTCACAGAGGAGGCAATTCGGACCTGGTGGCAGAAAAGGATGGTCTGATTCGCATTCTCTTTTGCACTGTGTGATCAACAAAAATCCAATTCAGACCATTGTACCTCAGGTGGAGTAGAGTCTGTTTGCCATTATGAACCAGCCTAGAATATTAAGGGTGTGGTATGGATGATGATGATGGTTACATCACTTTATAGAAAACAGAGACAAAAGGGCTGTGCTCTGGGATATTTTGGAAGAAGAGTTCTGCTAAGCCTGCCCGGGAAGCTCAGTCAATTTTTTCTTTTCTCAAAAGGAGCTTAGTTTTACGTCCCTCCGCCCCACTCCTTCCCTTTCTTTCGCCGGGCACCAGGGGGCGCAGCAGGCGGAAGAAGAGCCGCCGCTGTAGTCATCTCTCTTTCCCCGTCGCCAGGGCTTTGCGTCATTACTGAGCGCCTCGTCCCCTGTGAGGCTGCTGGGAAACGAAACTGATATTTGGCGGATTGGCGTTGGGCGGTCTGTTGCTCTCAAGGCCGGGCCCGTTTCGGACGGCAAGAAGCCCCGCTGCTCCTTCCTTCCTACCTTCCTCGGTCCGGCAGAGCTCCCTTGCCCCTTCCCCTCGTGAGCGCAGCAGACAAGGTGGGAAGAGCCAGCCAGGCAGCCAGCTTTGGGGTGCGGTGGGCCCTTTGCCTCGGTCTACCTCCCGTCACGCTCTTTGCCTTTCCATGATGCTTGCCTAGTCTCGCCGCCTGTTTATTCCTCACACGGACAGTCCCCCACACTGATCGATCGCCCCTTCCCCCGCTTCCTTCGGCCAAGCTCTTTCGACCCCCGTTAGATCTTTTGGCGGGCCTTGGCCTTTCCACTTGCAAACGGAGCACTTGCCGGCACGGCCCCTCCATTCCTCTCCCTCCTCTAAGCTTCAGGCCTCTTCCCTGACACACACTCTCACCTTCTGCCCCTTATCCACTTCAGGCTTGCGTGCCGTTACTGTTTTTATAACTTGATCTGGAATCCTTTCCAGAATGTAAGTCCCGTTGAACTAGAGGGGAGTAAGGATGTTTGTTTATACATAAGCGGTCCATCCTCCCGCAATCACTGTTCCTATGTCACTTGGTCATTTTTCTGCACCCCACTCATTTTGGCTCTAATACTCAAGTAAGGTTATTCCGGGAGTGAATGACTTACTTCCCTCCTCTTTGGATCTTTGGTAAACGTAAATATTTCGTACAGTACTGGTGTCTGAATTCAACTCCCATCTTTTTGGTTTAGAACACTTTGTGTTTTTCCTCGGAAAAATGCTTGTTTTCCTGAAATAACTTTTTGAAGTACTGATTAATCAACTGTAAATAAGAGAATATTGTGGTAGTGTTCTGCTCTTTCAGTTAGGAAATTAAGCAGGTCATTGAGAACTGTGTACATCTTCACAATAAAGTCTTAGATGTAATTCAGGTATAATGAAAGATCTAGAAATTGGCAGTAGTTTAGGGGGCCTCTGTGGGCGTGGCAACACGCTCAAGGGGCAGCAGTGGCTGAGGAGCCTTTTTCGTCCTGAGGCAGCTGCGGCGGCAGGATGACATGGCTCTGCAACCCCCCTCCCCGGTAGCTCGGGAATATGGCACACCTCAGCCAGGCCAGTGTCACAGCAGTGAGTGGTGACGGTTTGGATGTCTGTCGGCGCATGGCGCAGAAGTGTCCCCATTTCACCTTGATTGCCACCCGACTGCTCCAGTTTCTGGCTGGGCACGTTGTTGCCATGGCCCGGGCCTTCTACACCTGCTCTTAGGGGGCCCTGGAGGAACCAGGCAAGGGTCCTCCACTGAAGCAGCAGGCGGCACCAGCACCACCACCAGCAGCCTCGTCCTCCCTGCCAGCCGTAGCTGCTGACAGCCATTCCTTGGGCCCAGGCCAGGAAGCCGGCAGCCTGGAGGAGAATAAGACAAAACAAGGTCTCTTGCCTAGTGTGTAGAATTTGCTGTTTTATACTATTGCAGAACGACAAGAGAAAATATCAGCTCATAAGTTAAGAAATGTGTTCACAGCACTATACAGTGGGGTCTCTACTTAAGAACTTAATCCGTATTGGAAGGTGGTTCTCAAGTTGAAAAGTTCTTATGTTGAATCTGCATTTCCCATAGGAATGCATTGAAAACCATTTAATCCGTATCTGCTCTTTTCCGTCCATAGAAACTACAGTAGTCTTAGACTCACACCGAAAGAGGAGATTGTACTGTAAACGTTTATCACAGAAAAGTTCAACCTGTAGTCTTCCAAAATAATACTACTATTTTAAAATAGCCTACTATTTTGCTTGGTGAGGAATTGTTTAACCTAGAAATCTCATAACACCACAGCTTTGTTTGCTTTGACCTCTCCCTTCCTTTATTTACTGTATTTATCGTGTATAAAAAGACATTTTTTCCCTTAAATTGAGAAAAAGTTAAGGGTCGTTTTATACACAGAAGGCAGCTCTTTACCACTGCCTTTTGCGAAGGCACAGGGCTTAGCAAAAGGAAGGGGAGGAGTTGCTCCCTTCTTTTTTGCTAATCTCTGTGCCTTTTCAAAAGGCAAGGGAGGCAGGGCTTCCCAAAAAGGAAGGGGAGTCGTTGCTCTGTTTTTGCTAAGCTCCATGCCTTCTCAAAAGGCAAGGGGTGCTGGCCTTAGCAGAAAGGAAGTGGAGTCATTGCTCCCTTCCTTTTTGCTAAACTCCGTGCCTTCTCAAAAGGCAAGGAAAAGTGGCAGTCACTTTGACAGCCACTTGCCTTGCCTTTTGCCAAGGGATGGGGCTTAGCAAAGAGGGAGCCCTTTGATCCCTGCTTTTTCTAATTTGGGGTTAGAAAAGGGAGGAGTGGTCATCTTATAAATGGAAAAATACGTTAAATGTTTAGACCTGGCACAGATAAATATGAATGGCCTCATTTGTTCCATAGATCTCTACGCAGTGCCCTAGGTAATTCCAACTCCTGATTCAAGCAGTCTCCAGGATTGATAATTTTATAGTTATATGCCATCAAGTTGATTTTGACTTATGACAACCCTCCCCAGTGTTTTCTAGGTACAAAATACTCAGAAGTGCCATACCAATCTCTCCTTAGGGAGATGCTCTTACTATACAGATTGTCCAAGGCTGCATAGAGTGTCTATTCTGGAAGGCTGCATGGGAAATTGGACTTCTAGCCTCTGGCTGCTCCAACTGACAGTGTTATTCAGCCAGTGGCATATATTTCAGTTCTCTCTTACAAGTACTTGTTGAGATGTGTCTTATGCTACAAAATGCTGTTTTTATTGACATTTTACTGTTTACTGAAACAGTGACGTCTACATTAGCTTGGGCATGTCATGAGAATGGTTGATGGTCAGATTCCAAAAGATCTCCTATATGGAGAATTAATGCAGGGAAAGCTCCCCAGAAGGAGACCACAGCTCCGATACAAGGATATTTGCAAGTGGGATCTGAAGGCCTTAGGAATGGACCTCAACAGGTGGGAAATGTTGACATCTGAGCTTTCAGCCTGGAGGCAGGTAGTGCATCATGGCCTCTCCCATTTTGATGAGACACTTGTTCAGCAGGCCGAGGCAAAGAGGCAGTCCTGAAACCAGCACAATCAGGGAGCTGGACAGGAGACAGATTGTATTTGTCTTGAGTGTGGAAGGGTTTTTCACTCTTGAATTGACCTTCTCAGCCACACTAGACACTGTTCCAAGACCTCTATTCAGAGCACGTTACCATGGTCTCTCGAGTCTGAAGGATGCCTACACACATTGGCAATTGAATTATTTAAAAATATTAAGCACAGTTTGTGCTTAATATTAATTCAGGCTTCTGAATGCTTTGACTTTTGATGCAAGTCCCTTTTTTACTCAAAAGTTTTAGTCACATACAAAATATGTTAAAATGGTTTTATGTTTGTGGAGTGTGTTTTGGGGCTATTCTGTGATACTTGCCATACCTACAGCCCAATCCTATCTATGTTTATCCATAAATTAAGAGATTCACAGTTTTGTGAATGTTTATCTGACAGCTAAATCCTTTTGTATTGCTGGGATTTGCTCACTGTTGGGATTGCAGTGTTAAACTGCAGTTGCATGCAAGTTATCTGTATATCTTCAGTGAGCACAAAAATGTCTTCTAATTAAACATAGGTAGGGTTGTGCTCTCCTTCCCCTGTAAGTGTGCCTAAGTGGGTTCAACTGAAATAAATTGGGATGGCCTTCAATTTAAGACAGATGTAGTGGAATAAAAATAAGCTATGGAAAAGCCTCTTCAGACTTTGGTGTCAGAAACAGAAAACTCATTAACTTATTCAAGCTCTCTCTTTTAAAATAAACAGTGGGGATGAAATTATTTAGTAACCTACTTTTTTCCTATTGGAAATAAATAATTTTGGAAATGCATGGAAGAAACCAATATTTTTGTACTGAAAATATCTGTAAGAGTAGTAAATCTTGATATTTAATTGCTTTGAAGCCATGTTGTGTTTATAGATTTGGTTAGAAGCACTTTACATTTGGTTTATTTCTTGCAGTAAAAATGAAGCGAAGAACAGAACCTGAATATAGTAGCCCCCAGAAGAAGCAGAAGAAAAGAATAGAAGAACTTGGTTTGACCCTCAGTTCCACTTCAGATGATGAGACTCAGCTTAGTAATCATGCAACTCAAGGTAATGGAAGAAGGGACATTTGAAGGCCAGATACAGAAGTTCTGTTTACAGCCTCTATGTAATGGGTATTTACCCTTGTTTCTCACGTAAGTGTGAGAAAGAGTTTTATAATTTAGATTTTCTTTTCCCACTCAGAGGGGTGAACTGATGTGTGGCTTTGAGATTATAGATGGTTCAACCCATATACATGTTTATCACTTCACCAAATGATATAAATCTTGAGTTATGGAAGAGCATTCCACTCATTATGGAGCAATGAATTCAGTCCTATATTTGTGGGTTTGGCCCCTCCTGTAAATGCTGTTAGTGATGACAAAGCAAAAAGGATTTGATGGCTCCATTTGCAGCTGTCAACTTGAAATGAGCCTAGGGTGAGATTTCATGACATCTGGACATTTTTCAATACACTCAAAATGAATGCACTTGATCTGACAGATTTTACTTTCTTGGGCTCCATGATCACTGCAGATGGGGACATTAAATTAAAAGACTCCTGCTTCTTGGGAGGAAAGCGATGACAAACCTTGACAGCATCTTAAAAAGCAGAGACATCACCTTGCCGACAAAGGTCCACATAGTCAAAACTATGGTTTTTCCTGTAGTGATGTATGGAAGTGAGAGCTGGACCATAAAGAAAGCAGACCGCCGAAGAATTGATGCTTTTGAATTGTGGTGCTGGAAGAGGCTCTTGAGAGTCCCATGGACTGCAAGGAGTACAAACCTATCCATTCTAAAGGAAATCAACCCTGAGTGCTCACTGAAAGGACAGATCCTGAAGCTGAGGTTCCACTACTTTGGCCATCTCATGAGAAGAAAAGACTCCCTGGAAAAGACGCTGATGTTAGGAAAGTGTGAAGGCAGGAGGAGACGGGGATGACAGAGGATAAGATGGTTGGACAGTGTCACCAAAGCTGCCAACATGAATTTGACCCCGCTCCAGGAGGCAGTGGAAGACAGGGGGGCCTGGTGTGCGCTGGTCCATGGGGTCACGAAGAGTCAGACACGACTAAATGACTAAACAACAACAACAACATACACTCCTTAAACATGTTTGAAAGTTTATTGTCTTTTTCTTTTGTATGTTTGAGATATAAATTAAAAGAAAAAAGACAAAGAGGGGGCAAATGGAATAGAATCACACAGATTTTAAAAGGGCTGGGTGACAAAATGGAATATTTATGGCCAAAGTGTCAAATAGAGTCTCCCAGTACTACCTTCTGAAACCTCCCCATCAAGAAGGAACGGATACTCTTGTTCAACAGTGCCCCAAAGTCCCATTCCAACTAGATGACTCTGAAGGATACCATTGCCAAGCCACTAGTAAAATGAATAGGGACTCAGTCCCACTGTTGAGTTTGAAACTTAGGTGGATCACCCAGGCAGTTGACTTAAAACTGCCTGTATCACATAACTGGATCTAAGGCTCAATAGAGACGAGTAATCAGCATCATTCATGAAGTCCTGGGAGTTGTACTGCTTCCATGTGTTCAAGCACCTTAAGTTGTTTAGCTGCCAACCTTATGCCTGGCTCTAAAAATTGTAGTTGAAGCTAACCTTACATTCAGGTTGAAAAAGTTTTCTAGCAGCACAACTCAAGAAACATAGATCAGTGTTGGAACGCATGCTTTGTTTGCAGAATTCCTGGAATCAATTCCTGGCATCTCCGGCAGGTCTGAGAAACCTTCCTCTGTGAAACCCACCAGTCAGTGTTGATCTGGACTAATTTGCCTTTGGCTTTCTAGAGATCTTGGAATGCAGCACCCATAACCTCTTTATATATTTCATTCAGTGTGTCACAACTATTCATGAATATTCATGTCCTTAATAGAAGTGCATGTTTTGATGTATCTAGATAACCCACTAGAAAAATTGAAAACTGATGCAACAATGTTTATTCCTGCAAGTGTGTCAGACAGGATTTTTTTAATGGTCAGGATCCGTGTTATAAGAATTACTAATTTTATATTTTGCACAAATCCATATTTTGCATGAAAACTATTTTTCTACGATGTTTTTGCTCAAGATACTGGATTTTTATTCGAAAGTGACTTCAGATTTTTCACAAAATTTTCTGAACTACAAATACTGCAAAAGAAGTTCCATAATTTTGACCAGTAGGGAGAAAAGTTAGGGGATTTTTTGTTCTTTGTGGTCTCTGCGAATCACACATATGGGTTCTTTTCATGCCTGCATGAACATATTCAGAACCTTCTAGAGCCTACAGAACATGTTAGTCCTTGCTCTCTCCAGTGCAAATGCTTCTTACTCTGTAGATAATCCTCAGTTCCCTTTTTGCTGCCACTGAGAGAACAGCTTGGGAGCTTCTCTAGAGCCTTTGTTTTTCTCCTCAGAACCTAAATACTTTCTAAATGGTTCTACAAAAGCAATAGTTTGTTATATTACTAAGTATTACTAAGACTCACTCTTAGTGAAATGTTGTGAGGACAGGCCTCCTCTCCTGCATTCAGCCATTTTCCAGAATGGAGTAAACTGATCCAGCAAACTTTAAGCAGGCTGTCACTGCTTTCCCAGAGACTTCTAGACTGAGTAGTCATTTGGTTTCTGAAAATGATCTCACACATTCTTCTCTGGTTTAGGTTTGATCTGTAAGGAGAAAGGGCCTCCTTGCGGGAAGAGACATACTAAGCATCATCACCTATAAACCGAGGTGGCTCATTACTACAGTATTATGACACTGTACCATATTTCTTCCCTGAACCAGACTGGTTGTTTCTGCCACCCCTTTACCATTACCAGGTGATGCAGAGAGAAGAAAAACAATGACTCCTTTTGAAGTTGACCCATGCATTCACCGATACTGGTTTTCTGTAGGCACCAGTCACACAGCCAAAGGTTTTCACAATCAAGATAGCCTGAAGCAAAATGCCATTCTAGACTTGTGGGATGTGAACTTTTACACAAATACAAAGAAACTCAAGGTGGTGACACCATAAACAGTTTTACCACTTCTCAAATAATGAGATTGGCTTGCTGTGATAGACCTCAAGGATGCTTATTTCCATATTACCATCCTCTTGGACCACTAGCATTTCCAACATTTTTCTCTGGGTGACAAGATCTATGAGTTCAGAGTGCTCCTTTTGGTCTATTGATAGCACCCAGAGTCTTCGTGGAGTGTATGCCACCAGTCACAACATACCTTAGAATTTGTGGCATAACTGTATTTCCATGCATATATGACTGGTTGATCGTTGCAGACTGAAAGGGTAAAGCAGAAAAAGATGTGGCTTTCACCTTTACTTCCTGCTGGATCTTGGCCTTTGTATAAACTTTGAAACATCACATTCAGACATGGAAGTGATTTTATCTCTTTTCTTCAATAGCTCTACTGCACAGAGTAGTAGTAAAACTGTCAGGACAAGGCCAGTGCAATATTAGTGGCCTCATGGTGGCCACATCACCCTTGATTAGTGACTCTCAGGCACATGGCATTGGATATGTATCACCTACCATTTCACACGCTAGCAAGGTTATGCTCAAAATCCTCCAAGGTAGGCTTCAGCAGTATGTGGACCGAGAACTCCCAGAAGTACAAGCTGGATTCCGAAGAGGCAGAGGAACTCGAGACCAAATTGCTAACTTGCGCTGGATTATGGAGAAAGCCAGAGAGTTCCAGAAAAATATCTACTTCTGCTTCATTGACTATGCGAAAGCCTTTGACTGTGTGGACCACAGCAGACTATGGCAAGTTCTTAAAGAAATGGGAGTGCCTGACCACTTTATCTGTCTCCTGAGAAACCTATATGTGGGACAGGAAGCAACAGTTAGAACTGGTCATGGAACAACTGATTGGTTCAAAATTGGGAAAGGAGTACGGCAAGGCTGTATATTGTCCCCCAGCTTATTTAACTTATATGCAGAATACATCATGCGGAAGGCTGGACTGGAAGAAACCCAAGCCGGAATTAAGATTGCCGGAAGAAATATCAACAACCTCCGATATGCAGATGATACCACTCTTATGGCAGAAAGTGAGGAGGAATTGAAGAACCTTGTAATGAGAGTGAAAGAGGAGAGTGCAAAAAATGGTCTGAAACTCAACATCAAAAAAACTAAGATCATGGCCACTGGTCCCATCACCTCCTGGGAAATAGAAGGGGAAGATATGGAGGCAGTGTCAAATTTTATCTTCCTGGGCTCCATGATTACTTCAGATGGAGACAGCAGCCCTGAAATTAAAAGGCGCCTTCTTCTTGGGAGGAAAGCGATGACAAATCTTGACAGCATCTTGAAAAGCAGAGACATCACCTTGCCAACAAAAGTCCGCATAGTCAAAGCTATGGTTTTTCCTGTCGTGATGTATGGAAGTGAGAGCTGGACCATAAAGAAAGCAGACCGCCGGAGAATTGATGCCTTTGAATTGTGGTGCTGGAGGAGGCTCTTGAGAATCACCTGGCCTGCAAGGAGAACAAACCTATCAGTTCTAATGGAAATCAACCCTGAATGCTCACTTGAAGGACAGATCCTGAAGCTGAGGCTCCAGTACTTTGGCCATCTCATGAGAAGAAAAGAGTCCTTGGAAAAAACCTTGATGTTAGGAAGGTGTGATGGCAAGAGGAGAAGGGGACGACCAAGGATGAGATGGCTGGACAGTGTCTGCGAAGCAACCAACATGAACCTGACACAACTCCGGGAGGCAGTAGAAGACAGGAGGGCCTGGCGTGCTCTGGTCCATGGGGTCACGAAGAGTCGGACACGACTAAACGACTAAACACACACACACACACACCATTAATCCCAGACTTGATTACAAAGGACAAGGGGACAGTCCATCACCCAGACTTAGCCTGGCTGAGACTGTCAGCATGGAGATTTTCACCAGAACTAAGCAGAATTCTGTAATAAGAAAGAACCACCTGACATAATTATAAGTATACATGGAGAAAGTTTGTAGATTTCAAAAGTCCATGCAACAGCCTTACCTTCCACCTAAGTCCACGTGATTCTCCGTTTCTTGCTCCCCTATAAAAGTATATCTATTGCAATCGTGTATCAAACTCAAGGTTCTGTAGCTTCTCACTTCTTCAGAAACCCAATCTTCAAAAGGTTTTTGAAGGGTCTGAAAAACCTAGACATCATAGCCTCGCTGCCACTGTGGTCATTTACTTTAGTGCTTAATTAAATCTTGAAAATGCCATTCGAGCCCATGACAACTTTGGATCTCAGGTTGCTGACTTTCAAAACTTTTTTTCCTGATTGCGGTTACTTCTGCATGCAGGGCTAGCAAATTGTGTGCCCTCTGATATGATCCACCTTTCCTACAATTCAGTAAAGAGAAAGTGATAATATTCCTTGATCTTTTCTTCCTACTTAAAGTGGTCTCTGACTTCCACCTAAATCAATCATTGGCACTCCCTATGTTTTTTTCCACCAATCACTTTGGAGGTAAAAAAAAATTGCTGTACATCTTAGACATCGAAAAAGCATTTGCCTTCTACATGATGAGAACGAGACACCTCTAAAAATCTGCAATACTCTTTGTAAGTTAACAGGAGTTGAAGAAAGGTGAACATGTTACTTTGCAGAGATGTCTGAATGGATAATTAGCAGACAGAGAGACAGAATCTTTATTGCGTAATCCAGAGACCATAGCAAAATAAAAATACAATTAATATGTTATATTAGTGCAATTACACACAAATATTTTCCAAATACTTGGATCTACATATAGAGGCTCTAATATTGCATGTATTTATATTGTGTAATTGTAATAAAAAGCTCATTTTCTCTGAGACACACCTGCTTTTCACTTTCTTTTTAAAAGGCTGTAGATATTTTTCTTTTATATTAGTATATAAGGAGCAGTCAAGCACATAATGAGTCAAATCCTCAAGAACTGGATTGCCACACACACACAGTCTATCTTCTATGGAAATACCTTGAAACTTATCCAGTTTGATCATGGTATCCACTTGTTCAAATCGTAAACGTGTATATAACTTTTGCAGCCCTTAACGTTAATAAAAACTATAAATTGCCAATGATATAGAAATAGCAATTGGGTGGCAGACTGAGGGGAGGATGGGTGGATTGTGTGAATTCACAGATGACCACTCAAAGAACTCCAGTTCTTTTCATAGTGACAATGAAGTAAGCAAAGATTTGCTTCCCAGTTTGTTTAGGCCAAGGCATTTGGTAGCTGAAGTTCAAAATATTCAAAGCTTCAAAGATTCCTTACTGCGTATCGAGGTTGAAAAATCTATAGTCTGACTGCATTTTTAGAGTATAAATAACACAATGTTGTGATACTGATGATTGAGAAAAGCTGTCTTTTGTTTGGCTTTCAGAATCTTCCACAAGCAGCAGTGAGTCTGATAATGAGAGCAACGAGAGGCGTCCTGTCCTTGGTTCATTCAGCAATAAATTCAGTGCAGATTCTCTTGTGGAGGGCACATCTTCCCGCTACTCCATGTATAACAGTGTGTCTCAGAAACTCATGGTAAGCCAGAGCACTCTAGTTAACTATGTTGGGGTAAAATACATATGCTATTGTCTTTCCATCCATTCTGGAAATTCTCTAAGCCAAAATGGGTTCAAAGTGGTATTTTGGTTATGGAAACTGTAAATTTTTTTATGGTCAGAGTCTTGCCGCAAATAGCAAAATTTGGTTTACAGAGTGTAGCTGTGGTTTTATCAGCCTGTTTCTAGCTGTGGTAGGTGCAGAAATGTCTGAAAGTAGTTTAAAAGTAAAAATACCTTATTTTTTGAGAAGATTTACTGGTCACTAGATGAAAACTGTTTGCTGACCTCACTGACTCGTATACGCTTGCCTTATGCATGTTGCCCATTAGTATATTTTTGGCTTTTTCTGCCCACTTCTGGGCAGCAGGCATATGAGTCGAAGAGTAGGATGCAAATTGAACTTACTAGAATGATAAACATTGGTATTTGCAAGGGTCTTTCCTTCACTCTTAGCTTTAGTGCTGGCATTGCAAAGTGATTTGGAAGCCCAGAAATCTGAATTTTAAAATAACATAATTCTGTCATTCTTTAGAAGCAGCGCATCTGCCTATGTTCTCGAAAAGCATCTGAACCCTTTGTAGTGCTTCTGGTCCCACATGCACATAATAGTCACAAATGAATTTGTAGGTCAATGAAATACAACATCTATTTACATAGAAATGGATTATTTCCTCATTGGGAGCCACTTGAGATGTTGAAGTCTGGCACTATGTGCATCCATTTAATAGAGTAAAAATGACAATTTTAAAGTGAAATATTTTTCCCTTTGTAGGAATTGAAAATCTAGTGAAGTGTTCTGTGCATATTGTTTTCTCAGAAGCTCAACTCTGGCTTTCTGAGTATTACAAAGAATATTCTGGCATTTATCACATGTTCCAAGGTTTCTGTATTTTAACAGATTTCTCTTTTTGTTTTTAGTACTTTGGGGCAGGTTGTAGAAATTGAAATGGGTCAGTATAAAAGATGCAGAGGTGGTGATTTCCTTTGAGGGAATGGTGTAATGCTTGTTTCAGTCAGATAACTGGAGCCTTCTGATTTATACCTAATCAAGGACGAACTTCTTCCCTTGTGGTCTTTAAGAGCTGTGTTACATGTTAAACAGATGGTGTGTTTCTTAGCCAGGATACAAAGTGATGAGGAAATCTTCAGTTGCTGATTTTCAGGATGTTAGATGATTATTAAAAGCAGAAGAGCCTTTCAAGGAAAAAATGGTAGCATCACTGTCTCTTGGATTGCGTAAGAGTTGTGTTTGGGGAGGATTCAAAGCCCAAGTTACAGTAGCGGGAGCCTTGTGCCATCTTAAAGACAAAACATTTCCCTTGGCATAGGCCAATGACGGCGAACCGTTTTGGGCCCAAACTGGGAGGGGGGGAACCCTGGCAGGCCACAGGCCGTGGCGGAACTGGAAGTGGCAGCGGAAGGGGGAATCCTGGTCACGGAGCTCCCTCAAGACCCCACTTTGGATCTGCTGCCAGTGCCAGCTGCTCTGGATCCTGTCCCACCCCCTGTCGAAGTGCCAGCACCACGGCTGCAGCCACCTCCACAGGTTAGGCTGCGGGGGGGGGGGGGAGTAGTGATCTGGTGACGTATGGCTTGCGTGCCTGCAGTAAGGCCTCTGCGTGCCAGCTGTGGCCCGCGTGCCATAGGTTTGCCATCGCTGGCATAGGTGTTCGTGGACTACAGACTGCTTCATTAGATACAACATCTCTGAATGAAGTATTAGGGTCTTCTGAGAGCAGTTAGGTCCTTGCCAATCTTGCCCTTTGGAAGCATAATTTCACAAGTGCCTGCTTAATCTCAACTAACAATTGAACAGCTGTCTTGTTCTGTCACATAATTCAACTAAGTTACTTTCATGCAGGATTTACCTTTGATAAGTTGTGCTAAAGCCACTGCTCTTGGTGTGTAGAATGGATTATCCTTAAGAGATATGGCCAGTTATTAGGAGGTGATGAGTCTGTGGAGCTCATTTTTATATGCGTTCATGCTTACATTCTTTAGTGAAGTAGGAATCAGTGTGCCAGGCCCCAATATTGCTAGACAATGAATGCTGTGTTCCCCATTGTGTCAGTCAACTATTTATTTATTTATTTATTTATTTATTTATTGGACTTATATACCGCCCCATAGTGCTACAAGCACTCTCCGGGCGGTTTACAATTTTTTAATTACACAGGCTACACATTGCCTCCCCAGCAAGCTGGGTACTCATTTTACCGACCTCGGAAGGATGGAAGGCTGAGTCAACCTTGAGCCGGCTACCTGGGATTTGAACCCCAGGTCGTGAGCACAGTTTTAGCTGCAGTACAGCGTTTTAACCACTGCGCCACGAGGCTCTTCAACTAGCACTAGGAGCCCTGTAGAACAGTGTTTGTTTTAAGTAGGTGGTGTACTTTTCTGAAACTTGCTGTAATTCTGATGGTGTATAGTTAATTCATACAATTTTAAAAGTATATGCTGCCAAACAAAATATGGACTTATTTAATCAAAACATTGTGTTACCCTTCTTGTTAGTCACATATTGCCCACAGTAACATGCAGTAAATAGGTAATTGGTAACAATAAAACAATAAAAATAGAATGACAGCATCATAAGAACAGAAAAATCATGAAGTAGAGCAGAGAGAAAAGTGAGTAAGGCACTGTAAATTAAAATCCTGTTTTTCCACTATGGGCAATATTTTAAGAAAGGGATTTGGTTCCCAGACAGTTTTCAAGCGTTATATTTGCAATCTTGCCCCCCCCCCAAGATTTGCTGCTCATTGCATTCCCTTGTTCATCTTGTCCATAATTTTCTTCTTTCCATCCTCCTCTCCAACTCCATCCTCTACTGCCTTAATTGCTTTCTGCCCCTCTCTATAATCGGCCCTCCTTCCTTATGGCACAGAGGTTAAACTGCAGTACTTCAGTTTAAGACTCTGTTCGTGACCTGAGCTGGACCCTGATGAGCTTGGGTAATTGGCTCAAGGTTGACTCAGCCTTCCATCCTTCCGAAGTCAGTAAACTGAGTACCCAGATCATGTGGGGGGGGGGGCGAGGGTCAATGTATAGCCTGCTTAATTAAGTTGTAAAATCCTCGGAAAGTACATCAAGCTCTATGGGGCGGTATATAAGCAGCAGACTTTGCTTTCTCTTTTGTCTTGATCAAAAGCAGAAGAAAAAGAGTGCTGATAATTCTTTGCCATTCTGTCTTCTGCTGTGTTCTCTCTTTGCTCTCTGATCTCTACTGTCTCTTCTATCATGCCTCATGACATTGGTGCAGCAGCCACAGATGCCATAAGACCAAGTTTTGGACAGTAATGTTGGGAACACTTGAGTAAAACTGGATTGGAAAAAAAAAGCTGCAGCAAATTAGATCTAATAGATTGATGGTTGTCTTTGCTGTACATCAGTGATTTTAAATGCTTTTCTTCAGAAAAGCCTTTTCATGTCAACTTGAATGTTGATAAATGTTGCTTTCTGGCATAAAATGTTGCAACTCAGAAGTGTTAATGCTTCATGTTATAGTAAAGCAAAATGAAACATAATGTAACATTCTTGTTAGTTCCAGTAGTTAGGCCTTTTTCTGTTAGTTATAATAGCATAAGAACTATGCTCTGTTCAAAGATGATTAAAAAATCAGGGAAAAGGAATTTTCTCCAGAGTGTTTATTTTCATATAATCTCTGTTACGCTATACATATTTTGGTGCTGATACTTGGCAAGAATGTACTGTGTTCTAAGATAAGGGCCAGAATGGCCAAAGCCTTTGAGAGGTAGAAACTCAAATGATTAAAGCGCTGCCAACCAAACTGTTGGAAAGGATAGATTCTGAATTGAATAACCCTGATAAAATTTCTGCTTCTGAAGGTTTAATGATCAAAGTAAAGAAAGAGATTCTTTATGTGTTATATCAGAGAACTGAGGTTATAACTGAGCTGGATGGCTTAGAGAAATACATGGAAGCAGCATAGAAGTATAAGGTTCATATCATCACATGGAAAACGTGTTAGTGATGAGAACATGACTGATAAGAGCTGTTTGTGAAAGGGCAGGGAATGGCCTCTCACCATCAGAAACAGGGTAATTTCTTTGTTTCCACATGGTTAAGAGCCTCGTGGCGCAGCGGTTGAACTGCTGTACTGCAGCCTAAACTGTGCTCACAACCCAGGGTTCAATCCCAGGTAGTTTGCTCGAGAGTCACTTAGCCTTCTATCCTTCCAAGGTCGGTAAAATGAATACTCAGCTCGTTGGGGGGGGGGATGTGTAGCCTGCATAATTAACTTGTAAACCACCCAGAGAGTGCTTGAAGCAGTATGGGATGGTATATAAGCAGCATGCTTTGCTTTTTGCTTTAAGGCCTCAGATTTGGTCCTTGAGATAGTTAATTACAACTGCAACTGCTTGCAAGAGTGTTGGAGCCAACTTGAATTTGTTTGTTCATTTTTCAGAAGGCATTGAAATTAAACTATGTAAAACCTTGCCTGAGTTGGGTCAACAACCACTGCATTAGCAAGACTTCTTGTACGAGTGAATAATGATGTAGTAGTGAAGATACTGAAGGAGAGAGAGAAATTCAGATGAAGAAACAGCAGCCAAAATCCTGTTGCTTAATTATGTAAGTAGCTCTAGAGTAGGCCCATTGAATCAGTGGGGATTTGGTGAACCAACTCCTCCATCAGTTCCATTCATTCAAACAGACCTCCTCTAACTGCAACTATCCCAAATTAAATCAAGATAAAGTAGGACCATTTGAATCAGTGGATCTTATGGAGGAGTTGACTCACCAAATCCCCATTGATTCAGTGTGCCTACTCTATTGTGACTTACTACACCAAGCAGTAAGCTCAACATCAGATGGTTCAACATCTGATGTTGAGCTTACTGCTTGGTGACATCCGAAGCGGAGTGAAACAGGGCTGTGTCCTTGCACCAACCCTTTTTGGGATCTTTTTTTTGCTGAAGCATGCCTTTGGAACTGCAACAGAAGGTGTCTATCTCCGGATTAGATCAGATGGAAAGCTCTTTAATCTCTCTAGATTGAGAGTGAGGACCAAAGTCCAACTGAAATGCATATGGGACTTCCTCTTCGCAGATAATGCAGCCATTGTTGCCCACTGTGCTGAAGACCTCCAACAACTCATGAATCATTTTAGCAAGGCCTGCCAAGACTTTGGACTAACAATCAGCTTGAAGAAAACACAAGTCATGGGCCAGGGCATGGACTCACCTCCCTCCATCACCATCTCCACACAAGAATTGGAGGTTGTTCATGACTTTGTGTACCTTGGCTGAACGATCTCTGACACACTGTCTCTAGAGCTGGATAAACGCATTGGCAAAGCAGTTACCATATTCTCTAGACTCACAAAGAGTCAATAAGAAGCTGGTGACATATACCAAGATCCAGGTCTATAGAGCTTGTGTCCTGAGCACACTCCTGTACTGCAGTGAGTCCTGGACCCTTTGTGCACAGCAGGAGAGGAAGCTGAACACCTTCCACATGCGTTGCCCCCGACGGATTTTTTGTATCGCCTGACAGGACAAAGTTCTAAATAGAGTAGTCCTAGAACGAGCTGGAATTTTTAGCATATATACATTACTGAAACAGTGATGTCTACATTGGCTTGGGCATGTCATGAGAATGGCTGATGGTTGAATTCCAAAGGATCTCCTGTATGGAGAATTAGTGCAGGGAAAGCGCCCCAGAGGGAGACCATAGCTGCGATACAAGGACATCTGCAATTGGGATATGAAGGCCTTAGGAATGGACCTCAACAGATGGGGAACCCTGACATCTGAGCGTTCAGCCTGGAGGCAGGCGGTGCATCATGGCCTCTCCCAATTTAAAGAGACCCTTGTACAGCAGGCCGAGGCAAAGAGGAAGTCACAAAAGCAACAAAATCAAGGAGCTGGACAGGGGACAGACTGGATTTGTCTTCCGTGTGGAAGGGATTGTCACTCTCAAATTGGCCTCCTCAGCCACACCAGACGTTGTTACAAGTCCTCCATACAGAGCACGTTACCATAGTCTTTTGAGACTGAAGGATGCCTAACTAACACCAAGCAACATTATTTTGGCCAGCAAAGCCTAGATACAGTTGACAGCTCCACACTATGCCAGTTGCATTTGAAATGCAAGTATATCATCTGTGGGCTACAGGAATTGTGTGCCAGATAGTCTTTTGTGTCTAGTATTGAACATGGTCCCTTAAAGCTATAGACTAGAGCTTATTTGTAGCAATAGTAGTACTGATGAATGGAAGATAACAGAATTCATAAGGTTCTTCCAGTGGGATGTTGAAAGCGGAGGATGAAATGCAGTCTTGATAAAATTGGTTTAAAGCCAAAAATGGTGATAGTTCAAATTGAATTGTAAACTAAACCCAACAGCACCCGATAGATTATAGGCTGGACTACTATCTCTCATTCAGTATTCCAGATGCAGTAGCTCCAGCAATAGCCTGCATATACTGTGAAAACTAATCACAAGGTAGAGGACAGTTATGTGACAACTCTTTCTGAAAGAAGCAAGAAGCTGAAGAATGCTTCACATGTCTAGGGGAAGGCATATTGCCAAATTCCCTCTTGTGCCTTCTTGGTAGGGGCTGGACTCAATAACCCATAGTTCATTTTCAGCTTTGCAGTTCTAAGATGATGATGATGATGATGATGATCATTACAGCTTCAAATATTTGATGATGGTGAAGGGCTCAATAGTGGGATGCTAATTGTTTTATAAACAAGTTTCCCTGACATTACGGATACACTAATTGAGAGTATCTTGATAAGCTTTTTGTGTGCAGGCCAATTTGTTCATGAGAACAACAGCTCCACCCTTATCTGCCTCTTTGATGATGGTGTTGGGATCATTTTTGAGGTTTTGTGTCTGGCATCATGTTCTGACTCACTGAGATTGTATGGTAAATTATGTCCTTTGCCAATGATCTCTCTGTGTTGGAAGCACTCAATATACAGCAGAAGTCCAATTCTTAGTTATAGAAGTTCTCCTGAGGGTTGGAACAAAGAATAAAATTTTTTATTTTGAGTGCTTCTGTCACTGTGTTCAGGCAGAGATCATCAGTAAAGGACTATGATTTTTTAAGGCTCTGTGTTACCTGGAATACATTTGAAAAATCTCAGCTTTAACTGTAAGATTATGACAGATGGCATTTAATTTGTTTTTCCTGTCATGTACTTGAACTTCTGGGTTTTTCTGACCCAAACATGTGTGATAAATATTATGCACTGCTTCCAACTTACGATGACCCTATGAATTAATTACTGCCTAGCAAACTAAAGCCTGTGATTCCTTTGTTATGTCAGTCCATTTCATGTTAGGATTTCCTTTACTTCATTGTCTTTAACGTTTCCTAGCTTTGATATCTTTTACAGTGGCCTTTGTCTTCTCATGATACATTAACAGTACAATACCTGCGGTTTAGTTATTTTGGTGTAATGTATAAGAGATAATCATCACAGCAACAGTCTTTCATGTTCTAGAACTCTCTGCGCCAGCATCTGCGAGTACTTACATTTGAAGGCATTGGACAAATGTAATGACAGGTGATTACTGAGCTTTTCACAGTTTGCTCATTTTGCAGAATGATCACTGCTTTTAAATGTTCTGTTCTGTACAGTTTCATTATCCCAATTATCAGTGATTCAGAAGGGAGAACTTAAAAGGTGTGCTGTGAGAATCATGAAGTATATTCAATACTCTCAATCACAATAGTCCAGTGTACTCTCATTGATTCTGCTGACCTTCAATTTAAGCACAGAGTGAAGTATATAAATCCACTAGATTTTACTAAAAAAATCTTTTCTGCATTCTTATAGGCCAAGATGGGCTTTCGAGAAGGTGAAGGACTTGGAAAATACGGCCAGGGGAGACAAGAGATAGTCGAGGCCTCCCAGCAGAAAGGAAGGCGAGGTTTGGGGCTGACTCTGAAAGGATTTGATGGAGAGGTTAACATCAACTGGCAAGATGAACCAGAGGTAATTAAATACATCTTTTTAAAAAATTCTCCCTGTGTTATCTCAGAGCTTTCCATCATGGAGATGTCTGATGTATTTCACCTTTTGTCATTCACTCAAGTAAAGTTCATGGTAAAATATATTGTAGGTTGAAGGTTTGTAGGCTGAACGCTGGATGCCAACCTTTTGCAGTCTGTTTTGAATTCCTTATTCTTGGGATGCTAGCCACTTGATAACACTTTTTGCTGTGTTAAGAATTGGTAAAATTCACAACATGAAAACTTAAAGCTTGGCCTTGGGTCTGCCTCCAAGTGTGTGTGTGTGTGTGTGTGTGTGTGTGTGTGTACACACATGTGATTAGTTTTCACTATATATATATTCCGAGTGCATATATTTGTAACATACAGCCTTCTTTTGAAACCTATTTCCTTATGTTTGCAGGCTAGTGCTTATGAGCAGGTGGACTGGTTTCCAGAGTGTACCACTGAAATTCCAGATGCTGAGGAAATGAAGGACTGGATGACCATAGGGAAGGTATTTTCAGTTGCAAAATAAGGGGAAGAAAATTAAGAGTTGAACCAATTACAAATTAAAAAGAACGTTGCTAAATCGAAAGATGCTGTTCAGTATGCTGAAAATGTATTGCAAAAATAACTCTGCCTTCAGATGGAATTAAAATTTGTTATATTAAAACAAGATGAAAACAATTATGGAGTTAAGATTACTAGATGATGGAAGGATGCCAGAATAAATTACTAAATTCAGTGAACTTAAATATAATCGAATAACCTTGATTTTAAAAAAGCCACCTTGTTTAAAATTACTGTTGCCTTCCAAATTTTGTGTTTTAGCCTTCATGAACTAATGAAATGAATTCTCACATAAAACATGTATTATATGTGAGAATTCATTTCATTAGTTCATGAAGGCTAAAACACAAAATTTGGAAGTCAACAGTAATTTTAAACAAGGTGGAAGATCTGAAGCTAAGGGACAGAGCACCTGCTTTGGATGCAGAAGAGTCCCTGGTATCTCTAGATAAGAAAGATCCCTTTCTGAAACCTTGGAGAACTGTTGTCAGTTAGTGTTGATAATAATAGGGTTGGCCTGGTATAAGGCAGCTTCCTATGTTTTGGTGTTGTAGTTTTAGCTTATCCTTCCTCCAAGGGGCTCAGGATTGTATATGCAATTCTGTTTCACTTTTATTTTAACAGCAGCCCTGTTGCATAGGTTACATTAAGAAAGAGACTGATCCACATTCAGACAAGTGAGTAGAGGTGTCAGGATTTGAACCTTGAAGCCTTGGACATAACCGCTATTAATTTCTAAACCAATTAACCACCATGTGATGGTGAAACTGAGCTTGGATCCTAGGTAGATCTGTCATGCTTATTACCTTGATGGGCTCACCCTCTTCAGCCCGAGCCCATCCTTCCACTTAAATGAGAGGACTAACATACTTGAGCGTACAGGGCTTCTGCGCCATTGTTCTATGTCAAACTGCAATGGGGAATAAGCTTCATGTAATTACTGCATTTGCAAAAGTTGGAGTAACTTAACAAGCTATTGGAACTCAACAGCAGACAACTATGTTTTCTGCAGATATGGGTTCATTTACTATAATGTTTGTGGTCTATCTGGCACAGAATATTTCTTCTCAACATTTATGTTCTTTGAAAGAAAGCAGCCTAGCTAAAGTGTAAACAACAGCAATGGGAGGAATCACCCCTCCTTTTACTGACAGTTGCTCTTAATGATGTACTGGCAAGTATTGACACCTGACATTGACACTTCAGGTGTTTATACAAAGCTAGCTTTCCCACTTTGGCTCATGCTGCAGATATATTGTGTTTATCACTTAGATTGTTTTTGTTTATGTTGTGTGAATCTGCAGATGTTTGTAGATTGAAAGCTGAAGTTAAGACTGGCATGTTATCTCCATATGTATCTGTACAATGTTTTCTGTTGTCCTAAAACAGGCAAGGATAATTGATCAGCATTCCTTCTTCTATGTACCTGCCATATGAGTACTATAGATGGAGGTGTCTATAAAAAATGTTACTGATAAATTTAGCTGTGCAGGCACTGTTCATACATTTTGCCCATCATCTTGTTTTTGCTACATCCCATTCTTCAAGAGCATAGTGATGATCATGGGAAGGGCAAATATAGTTAAGGAGATCTTCTGTCTATGTATAATTCACTTGATCAGAAAACAGGACCAAAACTCAAAATGAGACATACTCATTTTATTCCACAAATCTTTAACCCAGAAGGTTCATATGTGTAGAGAGCTTGCAAATTAAACATATACCTCTGTGATTCCAGTCACCTGATCATTTAAATTATGAAAGGAAAATCTGCTCATACCTAAGGAGTCATGGGCTTGGAATTCCATTCCATTCCTTGAAACCTCAAACAGAAGAAAATGAAATGATCACCTAATGCTCAACTCTGGTGAATGAAGATTCATGCTTGTACAGGGGTTGCCACTTTCTGGGAAGTCAGAAAAAATCAGGGAAAGTCAGGGAAATGAAAATTGGTCAGGGAAAGTCAGGGAAATTGTGATTAAAATAGATCTAAGCAGTGGATTTCTGACATGCTGCTGCAAGAGCTGCATCTGTTCCAGCTGCAACTGGAATAGAGAAGTAGCGAAATGCAAGTAAAACTTAATTATGCCCTTTCTCTCAGCTCCACCTTTTTCTCAGCTCCATCCCCAGCAACCAGCCTAATGTGTTTTTGGGGCTCTGTCCCTGCATGATAAGTAAGGCTAGTTTAAACATTTAGCAAGATACAAACTTTAAACATCTAAGTGTTTTCATCCCTACCTGCTAGTACTGCATTTAACTTACATGTAAAAATAAGCATGTTTTGGGGTCATGCTTGTGTGTGGTTTGAACGGATGTTTTGCCTCCTGCTAAACCCAGCACAGAGTTGCAAATGGGTTTTGCTGCTGTTGGATTTCACAGTCAGTTAGCACTTCCTGCTTTGCACCATTCACAGTAAATTTTTCAAATGTGATTGCTTGTTCCTCCTGGAGTTTACAGAGTACCAGCTCTCTCACCCTCTTTCCTGACTTCTCCTACGCATAAAGGTTGCAAATAAGGGTTGTCTCTCGTCTGTCAATGTCAGATTTAGGATGCTGTCTTGAGCTGTGGAGGCCTTCCATCTGTTGTAATTGATAACAATCAACAGTCAGTCAGGCATGCTCGTGCACGCTACACAGAGCACTTGGAGGCTAAACACCATAAGAAACAAGAAGAAAATCAGAAGAAAAGAAGAAACTTGAGGGACAATTATTTGTATTCTAATTTCTAACTTGATAACTATAAGTTTCGTAATGTGGCTTCAGGAAAACCATTTTAGATAAAATGTTTATATAATTTTTAGTGTGCCTTTAAAACAGTAACAAAAATATTATATCATTTGTTAGCATTCAGCGTTTACTTGAATTGAAGTTTGTATCTTGGTGTAATTTTTGGTGCAATTGCAAAACATGTTGCTGCAGTTAATATTAAAAGAAGCTGATACTAAATCTGTTACTTTGAGAAGTATTTTTGCTATTGAGACTTGTGTATTCGTAGAGTGGAACATTTCATTAAGGTTTGCATTTTGCATTAATTTTTTAACTTGTGGTTATATTTGAATGGTGGGGAAATTGACAAATGTTGGTCAGGGAAAATCAGGGAAATGAAAAAAAAAATTCAGTGGCAACCCTGTAATGCCATGACAGTAGTGTTGGGGTCTTTTCTGTATGCCCCCTCCAGTCCTGTTCCTTCATTTCAATTACCAGCGGATCTGCACATAGCACCTCATTTTGCTGGCGGGGAGTGTTATTCAATATTCTTTGAAAAGTATAAGGAATGAAACTGGATATGATAAATTAGAATAGAAATTTATTATGTTAAATAGACAGTTGTGCAGAATCTTCTCTTTTGTGGAAGTGAAAAATATTTCAATGAGAAATGGTACACAAGGGTTGTGCCAGAGTTTCAGCCTGAGTAATATTGCCAAAGCATTTTCCTTGATGCTGAATTTACACCTGCTCTTCATGGGCTTTCTGTTTAAGTAGTTGAAGCAGATACTATATTTGCTGCTACTTGTCTCCAAATTACAGTGGTTCCTTTGTGCAGAAGCGGGCAGCTAGGTTTCCTTATTTTGCCATTGCTGTTCAAAATACCTGGGATCCAGCTAAGATGAAGTTGATATAGGATCTTGCATTTCTCTGTATTGCTGACCTGCTATTCACCCTGAGATGATGTGCTTGGGACATGTTCTTAACCAATAGGAAGTTGCTCTGTGGAGTGATTGATTCCTCCTGTTTTTGTTATTCAGAGGAAACTGGTAATTGATGACGAAACTGAATTCTGCGGAGAAGAACTCCTTCAGAATATGCTGCGTTGCAAGGTGAATTTTGCCAATTAGAAACATTGTAAGTTAGTTGGTGGGAGGAGAAAGGAAACATGGCAAGCAAATATGGAAAATTCTGAAACTTGACTGCATTGTGATATTCAGGGTAAAATAGCAAATACATTAATGCAATGTGATATGAAGCATTTGTTTCCAGACTCCTGGTTTCAATTGTGTTTTGGGTAAACCTTTATTTCTGTCTGGCTGTGGAATGATGGCTTCTCTGCTACGAGAGAAAGTAATTCTTCTTCCCAGTTTTTGTCTCCTTCACCCTGGAACTTGAGATCATTGTTGCACGAGACAAAAGCTATACTGTGTAGGCAATGGCACCTTGTTATCCCATTACAGAATGATTGGTCTGTCACTATTATTCCACATAATTAAACTTCTATAATTTGATGGTGCCTATGATAGCAAAATGAGATATATGTAAGTGAAAAATGTCTGGTCTAGATGTCCTTCTTGTTAGTTGAGGCTTGTTTTTTCTTTTTTCAGAGTGTGTTTGATGAGCTGGATGGAGAGGAGATGCGTCGAGCTCGCACAAGGTCTAACCCCTATGAAATGATCCGTGGAGTCTTCTTCTTAAACAGGTCATTGAATGTTCTCTGATTTTCAACCCTTAGGTCAGTAAGGGGCAGGCTCTTAACAAATATCTGTCTTACACTCACAGAGCTGCAATGAAGATGGCAAATCTAGACTATGTCTTTGACTTCATGTTTACAAACCCAAAGGATTCTCATGGGGTGAGAGTTTCACTATATCTGTATATAATATAAATTAATGTAGCTTAATGTTGGGTATACCTAAGCCTCCCTCCTTTGGTGAAATGCATTACAGTTTCTTGTGAATCCTAGTTACTTTGTTTCCATTACAATACTTATTTATCAAAATCTGTCATTCTTTTTTTTCTGTTATCTTTATTAGTAGCATCTGGAATAAAAAAATTAATCTGGGGACAATTTTCATTTTGCATATCGCTATACTGCCGAACTACAAAATCTTTAATTTTTTATATTCCTTTATTTGATAACTTATTTCTTTCTTTAGCCTTTCCCAAGTTCAGTTTAATGATATTTCAAGTTTCCCATGTTATGTTTATCCCTAAATATTTGATAGAATTTGTAAGCTTCCCCTCAAATTAATTTTTTCTTGTTGATCATAATTGAGTAATATACGTCAGATTTACTCCAATTTAACTTCAATTCTGCTGTTCCCTAAAAAATGGTTTTAAGTGCTATTTTATTCTCCCACTTGTTTCTAATGGATTCTTAATTATTATCTGGGGAGAATCAAATAATATCAGTTAATGGCTAAGTTTTTATTTTCAGCTATGAGAACTCGCAAAACGTTATAGCAAGATTTTATACTATACTATGTATTTTATATATTTTCTGTTTGTATAATCAGGTCTACGATCGCATAATAAAACTTTTTACTTACTTTACTATATCTGTGCATATAAAGTATCTTCATGCAGTGGGAGAAGTGGGTGGAGAAATTCTCCAATTTCTGTTTAAAATGTATGTGGTATTTAAAGTACCTGAAGCTTCAGGCACATATTTGGGTAAAGTGGTAGTTGCTTTGAGGGTGGGTTGGTTCTTTTGAGGTGCTTCAGTTTTATTCCTTTTTGCAGATACCTCTCATCAAAGATCGTGGCGCAGAGCTCCTGTACTTTGCTGATGTATGTGCTGGCCCTGGTGGTTTCTCAGAGTATATTCTCTGGAGAAAGAAGTGGCATGCGAAAGGGTTCGGGATGACCTTAAAAGGACCAAATGATTTCAAACTGGAGGACTTTTATGCTGCCTCCAGTGAGCTCTTTGAGCCCTACTATGGTAGGTGCTCCAAGCCTGTCTCTGTCATGGCAAATTTCTCCTTTTCAGTTTTATCTTCAGTGCTGAGTTAAAGGTCTAACTCAAAATAATATTTTAAGAACACCCTTGAAAGTATAACTGAGGTTATCTATTATCTATAGAGAGGAGGGCCACATGAACCAAGGAAAACACAAACAGGATAAAAGATTGTTGCTGCCTTAATTAATTTTTAATGTAGATTAATTGATGCAATCAGTATGCAAAAATACTGAAAGTAAGAATGATGGAGTAGCCGTAACTGAGGTGACGTAAATTATCTTTTTTTAAATCACAGAACAGAGGCTGAAATCCAGTATTGTAAGTTACGCTATATACATCTGATGAGCTTATCAGCCAGAGACAGATTTAAGTAATTAAATGTTTCCTGTTCTCCCCCTGCAAAGTTCCTACGATCCTGCAGGATTACTTTCATCTGGGGAAAGCCTTTGAGGGGCCCGGGATGGGAGTGGGATGTTTTAAATGTCTGAAACCTCCCACTGTTGGTTCAGATTGCTGTGGTTTTCAGTCATTTAAGACTTCCCACCCATATCCAGTGGCTCCCAAAGGCTTTCTAAGACTAGAGGTATCCTAAAATGCTGAGAAGCCCTTGTGGGGTGGGGTATAGGAAACTTCTAGTAACCAAAATACAGCCATGTCTGATGATGTCTTCAGGCTTACACAGTAGAACTTTATGTGAATTTCAGCCACTATAAATAAATAAAAAAATAAAAACTATCTCTTCTATGGGAATGTTGTTAATTCTCTCTTTTAAAATAATGGTTCTGGGCTATATAATTGCAATAATATAGCCAAGATCAAATTCCTTCTTTTCGCATAGGTGAAGGAGGAATTGAGGGAGATGGAGACATCACCCGTCCTGAGAACATCACTGCCTTCCAGAATTTTGTGCAAGACAACACAGATCACAAGGGGGTACATTTCTTAATGGCAGATGGGGTATGTTCCTTCTCTCTTCATTTTGCCCTCAGGTACTAAAGCCAGCAACTTAGCTTTGTTTATAATGACAAAAACAATTATTATAAATATAATGATGTTTCTCTCTCTCTCTCTAAAGAATGCCATAATATTGCTTAAACTTTGAAAATACCCAGTGGATCATTTTGATTTATTTTGGAGTTGGGTTAATAATTTTAGTTGATTTGAATGAATATAATAAAAACAAAAAAATTATAACAAAAAAGTCTGTAACAAGCGAATACATTGTGTTGAGGTTCACAGAATGCAGACATGCAAATATCCAGTAGGTGTCATTGACTAGCAGCTGTTTGATGTTGTTCTGTTGTTACTCTATTACTGTCCTTGTAGATATTCAGTATATAGGCAACTGTTCACACTTACAACCAGTAAAACACAAACTTGACTTCATTTTTACTGGTAATCAAAGCTGATGCCTTAAGCTCAAGGGGTTTATTTAGTCAGGGGGAAATCTTGTGAAAGGTGTTGTTACAATATTCTGTCTAACCTTTGTCACTGGTCCAAAATTTGTGGCTGTAGTGACTCCTTCCCAGGGAGGGAGGCCTATAATTCACATCACACCGAACACTGGAGGCCAGAACCTCTGAATCTCAGTGTAATGTCAAGTGATGCACTCTCCTGTCATTCCACTTCGAGTCTCACAGGTGTTCTCTTGCATCTGTATTCCCTATGATATGAACTGATCAGTATAGGAGTTCATCGACAACACATAAGATGTATGGCAGCCATCGGCAATGCCTCCTTGTGGGCTGAATAGTTCTAGGTGGTATAGGGAGGAATAAGGTCGAAGAGAGGAAGAACATTCTATGAGGTGGTGATTCTCCCACCATCTTTCTGAACTTGATACTGGTGTGGGGATGCAAGTGCTTCTTTGCTTCTCTGCCCCATCTTACTTACTGTCTGCCATCTCAGCATGACCTTTCCCTTATAAAACAACCTGGTTTCTCCCTCTTGAGCAAGTTTCTTTAGTATTTTTGGGAAGGGAAAGGAGGCAGTTTGAGGGCTTAGCAGTGGATGGTACTGAAGAGGTGGTAGCATGCAGTTCAGTACCGTGTATGCCGGTGTACAAGACGAGTTTTGGGGCCCCCAAAACATGCCTCCAATTGGGGGGCCCGTCTTGTTTGCCGGGTGCCAGGAGGGAGCCGCCGCCACTGCCGCCGCCGTGAGAGTGGTGCTGGCCGGGGAGAAAGGGAAGGAGGAAGGGAAGCGGCGCGCGTTCGCTCGCCCGCCACCCGCGTTTCCCCTTTTCCTCCTCCTCTTCCTCCTGCCGCCGGGAGGGAGCCGCCGCTGCCGCCACGAGAGTGATGCGGGGCCACGCTGGCCGAGGAGGAAGGGATGGAGGAAGGGAAGCGGCGCGCGTTTGCTCGCCCGCCTGCCACCCGCATTTCCCCTCTTCTTCCTCCTCCTCCTCCTCCTGCCGACGTCCCCCCAAGCCTCTTCCTGGCACCGCACTTTGGGGGGGTCGTCTAATACGGCCCGTCGCCTAATACGGCGGCATATACGGTAGTTGTATGATCATTTATCATACTCACTAAAGCAGGAAAGGCTTGTTACCATGCTGACAGCAGGCCACGTGCAAAGGAAGTGAGAGGTGGTTGTCAGTTACAATACTGTGATACTGAACAATTTTGCATTACAATTCTGTGCTTGTGTGTTTCAGGGTTTCTCTGTAGAGGGGCAAGAAAATATCCAAGAGATTCTAAGCAAACAGTTGACACTTTGCCAGTTCCTCACAGGACTTTCTGTTATACGAACAGGTGCTTCCTTACTTGTTCTCTGTCTCCATCTTTCTCTTTCTGTCCCATATTTCTTTAGTGTTCAAAATGCTTTTTTTCTTCTATGTAAAACATTTCTCTTAGTGATAGTTGTCAGGGTAAATCTCTTCAGCCTGTCTATTCCACTTATACTCGTAACAGTTAGGAAGCACTATTTTTAAGAAACCCCCTTTTTCCTCTTAGCATATCCTCAAATGAAGTGGCTGTGGTTTTGGATGTTCTGGTGGCAAAACAAAAGTGTTCTTTGTGTAGAGCTTTGAAATTCCCAGTTTGTCCTGGGCATCATTATAAAGGCAGCATGCAAATGACTTTAGTGATTATAGGTGGAATCCCTTCCTGTCGCTTCCATTTTAAGAGAACTAGGAGGAACTGATATTGGTTAGTGAAGTTGTTTGTCTTGAATGTATTATATTTGAAAATATGATTTTGAGTATGCAAGAGAGTGCCCTGTGAGAACTCATCATATTCCTCTCCAAATGTCCATGGACAAGAGTGGCTTCTGTGATAAATCATGTAATAGAAATCATATGTTCAAACTCCTACTTTGCCACAAGATGCAGACATGGCATTCTGTGTCAATCAAAAGCACTGCACATGTATCTGTGAGAGTAAAATGTTGTCATCCCATGTGCACTATACACAGTGCCTTGGTGGAAATGTGGGATATAAATGTGATAGTAAGTGATAAAGTACTTTGTGTTTTCCTTTTTGATTTTTAAAATGCTAGCTTGAGTCTGCCTTTTTCTGTCTTCAGGAGGACACTTTCTCTGTAAAACCTTTGACCTGTTCACACCGTTCAGTATTGGCCTGGTGTACTTGCTGTACTGCTGCTTTGAGCGCATGTCAATCTTCAAACCTGTGACAAGTCGTCCTGCCAATTCTGAGAGGTGAGGCTGAGATGTGTTGACAGGCAAAGCAGGCATATCTTTGAACATTGCAGCTGTGATAAAAAAATGTAATGTAGTTGCAGCTTGGCTAGAGTACAAGTTCTGTGACCTGTTTTGACTAGAAATCTATCCCTCTAGGGAGAGAAGGAATTGCATTAGGAATACATGAGGAAAAAGAATACTTAGATGTGAGAAAATATTTACCACTTTTTGCTCAGAGATTTGTTATTTTTTTACATATAACTTGTTCTGTAGGGGTTTAGCGAGACACTTGTATCCCATGTACAGGCTCTGACCATTCGCCAGTGCATCATTGTAAATGGGGTGCAGCTACTTTTTTGTACTAGGAGAGCTGTAATCCTTCAGCCTCTAAGATGCACTTCTGCATCTGTTAATGACATTACAGTGGTGCCTCGCATTACGATTTTAATTCGTTCCAGCGAAATCGCTGTAGAACGAAAACGTCGTAAAGCGAAAATAAAACCATTGAAACACATTAAAACCTGGTTAATGCATTCCAATCGGCTAAGAATTCACCGTCCAGCGAAGATCCTCCATAGGGGCGGCCATTTTCGGGTGCCTGTGCAGCGAAAAAGGGCTCCTAAACACAGCAGGCAGCCATTTTGAGCCCCTGGTGGCCATTTTGAAAACCCGACAATCAGTTGTTTTGATCGTCGGGAAGCGAAAATCGGTTCCCGAAACAGAGAACTGATCATTGTGCAGTGAAATTCCCCCATTCAAAACGTCGTTTTGCAGTTGCTTTTGCGATCGCAAAAACCTCGTCGTAATACGGATTCATCGTTAAACGGAGCGCCCGTCTTGCATGGCACCACTATACTTGCAGAATGCGTGTTTTTGGAGAACAGTTAGATCAGAGAATTTACCATAGAATCATAGACTAATTGAGTTGGAAGAGGCCTCTGAGGCCATCGCGTCCAACCCCCTGCTTAATACAGGGATCCAGATTAAAGCAGTTCTAACAGATGACTATACAATTTTCTCTTGAATGCTTCTAGCATCTGGCTCACCACCTCCTAAGGTAATTGGTTCCATTGTTGTACTGCTCTAACAGTTAAGAGTTTTTTCCTGTCAATCAGCCTAAATCTGGCTTCCTGTAATTTACATTATTATGTATCCTGCATTTTGGGATGATCAATGACAATTCCTGCCTCTCTGTATTGCTAACTTTCAAGTAAAGTGCTATCATATCTCCTCCTCAGTCTTCTTTTCTCAAGGCTAGACATGCCGAGTTCTTTCAGTCTTTCCTCATAGTGCTTGGTTCCCAGTCCTCTGATCATCCTTGTTGCCCTCCTCTGAACTCACTGCATTTGGCACCCTTCTCGAAGTGCAGTATCCAGAACTGGGCACAGTACTCAAGATGAGGACTAACCAGTGCCAAATAGAAGGGGACTAGTATCACACAGAATTGGAAGACTATACTATTAATGCATCCTAAAATCGAATTTATTATTATGTATTAGTTTTATTTGTATGCCACATTTCTCCCAACTAAGTGACCCAAGGTGTTTTTGACAAATCCATGTTGGCTTCAAATTATTGTTGCATTGTTTTCAAGGTGCTTGCAGAGTGACCACTTTATAATCTACTCCAGAATTTTCTCTGGGATTGATGTTAGGCTGACTGGTCTGTAGTTCCCTGATTCCTTCTTTTTTCCCTTTTTAAAGATTGGGACAATGTTGGCCCTCCTCCAGTCATCCAGCATTTTATCCATCTTCCATGATTTAAAAATAATTATAGATGGTGGTTTTGCAATCTTTTCAGCCAGTTCCTTCAATATCCTTGGATGTAGTTCATCCCACCACATGAATTTGAAGTCTTTTGAAGTAGTAGTATACTTCTTGACTTTTTTGTCCATCTCAAAGTGTAATCCTATGCTCTCCCTTTGTACTTGATATTTGACTGGAGGAGTGTAGACTATCTCTTGGGAGAAGACCGAGTTGAAGTCGGAATTGAGCACTTCTGCCTTTTCTTTGTCATCTGTTATCCTTTTGCCATCTCCATTGAGTAGCTGCTCCACTGTTTCTTTTCTCTGTCTTTTGCTACACACAAACCTGAAGAATGCTTTTTGTTGCTTTTAGTATCATTCGCTAACCTCAGCTTATTCTCAACTTTTGCTTTCCTAATACCATCCCTGCAATTCTTTACTGCCAGTACTGTGCATTAACATACTATCTTCTTTCTGAATTTATTTGAAGCCTCAGGGGCTATTGCCAGAAAAAGCTCAATTGCACAATCAGTTTATGATAGCACGACCCCACGCCAGTTTATCATGGCCTAGAGCGCAGTGCAACATCACTTCCAAACAAGCAAGACCAAGAAACTATAGCTTTTCTGAGACAACTTAATTTGTCTCACTTTCCTCTCTTTGGGAGTGTGATTGTCAAAACAGTTTATCAAAACTGTGTTTTTCTGCCTTTGTTCTGAGCAGCTTCTATTATCACCAGCCAGCAGTGTTTGTAGTCACCAGTAGTGTATGTTCTAGTCCAGTAATATCAAGGGACCCAAGACTGGGAACCACTGGTGTATAGGGTGAAATGTGATTAGATAGGTATTGCTTTTTTGGACTTGTAGAAAACACAAACAAATGCACATTTTCACCACTACTTGGAAAAATCCATTGACTTTTGATAGCTATACCTATTTCAGCTTAGGATTTAATATAGTGTATTAGGAGGTTTTATATAGCATTAATTTGTATGGCCTTTCTCACCTGCAGATATGTGGTGTGTCGTGGGTTAAAGTCTGGAATTGATGAGGTGAGAGACTACCTTTTTGCAGTGAACATGAAACTCAACCAGCTGCGCGGCACAGACCAGGATGTTAACCTTGTTGTTCCCCTGGAAGTAATCAGAGGTGACCATGATTTCTATGACTACATGATCCGATCAAATGAAAGGTGAGTTGAGGAGCAGTGTTGAGAAACCAGAAACAGTATGGGAAAACCTGAGTGTTCCTGGCTTTTAATTGTGGTGGCCTTTCTGGTAGTGACATTTCTTAGGATGCTTATGTACAAGAGTACTTCCTCAGGTATCTTTATTGGGTAATAGTTTGTATTAAAAAATCCTAATTAGTAAGTTTTATGAGACATATTTCTGTCATATGCTATCTTTCAAACTTAAGTCAGAATTTATGTGTTGAAAATGAAGTAACATTTTATGTGTAACCTTTTCCCATGTCTCTTCCAGAGCTCAAATAAGTTACTGGTTTGGACTGTAACTTCCAGACACACCTTGCCAGTATAGTGTTTGATGGCTGTGGGATTCTGGGTGTTGTAGTCCAAGGCAGTTACTTTTCTAAGCACTGGATTTTCCTCAGGTCAGGCCAATCACAGTAAATTTTAGTCACACATTAACTGAAACCTTGTGGCTTAGCATAGTAAGTTGCCCTAGAGTAGGCCCATTGAAGCAGTGGGGATTTGGTGAGTCATTTCCTTTGTAAGTTCCATTGGTATAAATAGTCCTACTCTAGTTGTAATTTATTTGTGACTTGTGACATGAAAGTAAATTGCAACTTGAACAGATCCATTTAAATCAAAGGAACTTGTGGGGGAGTTGACTCACCAAATCCCCAGTGATACAGTGGGCCTGCTCTAGTGTTATTTGCTGTGCTAAGCAACAGGGTTTCAGCCACTTAGTTAAGCATCCACTTTTCCCTTTTTGTAATTTTACTGCAAGGAGATTGGAGCTGAGGGGGACTGATTGCTTGTTCTATTATGCAGTAACTATTATTAATTTGTTGTAGGAGACCTAGTTGACATTTGCTTGTAAAGTGGTTTATTTCATTGTCTGCATTTTTACATTATGCTGCCATTTCTGAACAAATAACAACCACCACATTTTCTGGAAAAGAAGCTTTTCCGAAACACCTTTGTAAAACAAGAGTGTAAATAAAATGCTCTTCAGTTCCTTAATAATAGCACTGTACTGTGGTTACAATATATCAGACTTGCTTCCCACGGGTAATTCTGCTTCTTGTTTATTTTTCATGCTTGTTCTCATGCACAAAAGCTTCAGGTTATAGGTCCATCTTTATAGAAAATGACCTGCTCTAAAATGAGCCTGTTTTGTCTTCCAGAATCTGCGCTGTTCAGATCAAAGCACTGGCCAAAATCCGTGCCTTTGTTCAAAACACGTGAGTGCATTTGTTTTTAAAAGTTATTTTCATTTGGTGAAGAGCTGTGGTTAAGTATTCTTCAAGAATTTATTCACTGGGTTGTTCAAACTGTTACACAGTCTTGTTGTGTATCGCCTTCATTGTATGGGGTAATGGTGGTGGTATTACAAAATTAAGCAAAGGATACAAAATCGAGCACTCTCTCACAGTGGCTCCAGTCCAAGGAAAGTGAATGGAATAAAGTGTTTAAAATGTCATTGGAATCTAGTTTGTTGCAATTAACTTGTACTAGTGATTCTTTTGATCAGACCCCTGTGCTTCCTGTTCTCAGTTGGTAATGCAGTACAGTAATCTGATGGTTTGAAATAGCCTTATGTTGTTACCATGTGCAGAGCCTTCTAAAAACAAACAAACAAAAAAGCAGTACAGTGGTGCCTCAACTTACGACCATAATCCGTTCCAGAAGATGGACGTAACTCGAAATGGTCGTAAATTGAAGCACCATTTCCCATTGCAATGCATTGGAGTGCAATTAATCCGTTTCAGCTGAAATAAAAAAAATACACCCCCCAAAAAAACATGGATCTGTAACCTGCAAGCCCCATAGGAATGCGCTGGGGCTGCAACCCCCCCCCCAAAATAAACAGAGCAAGCCCCGAAGGTGCTGGGGCTTAAAAAGAAACAAATAAAAAACCAAAAATAAATAACGGAGCAAGTCCCACGCGAGGGCTGCAAAAAAGTCACCAAAAAACAAAACAAACTCCTAAAGACCCATCACAGCACAGAAACATAATCCCCCCACAGCCCAAACCCACCCAGCAAAACCCACCCAGAACAGTTTTTAAAAACCAAAAAGCAGTAACTTACCTTACCAGGCAGTCTGGAGCCTCCCTGCAAACACACACATGCTCACTCAGAAGCAGAAGCCAGGCAGTCCCAAGCCTCCTCCGATCGCACACACTCTAATTGCTGGGACGAAAGAGCTACAAAGAAGGGGCCTCTTCGCCACCAACAGTTAGCAATTTTAATTTCCCCCCCCCCCCCCGCCTTTTTGTATTCGTAACTGGAAGCTCCGGTTGCAAGTTGACACAAAATTTTGTGGTCAGAGCTGATCGTAACTCGAAATGGTCGTAAGTTGGGACGTTTGTAAGTTGAGGCACCACTGTAGCTGTTAATGGTGGAATGAATATGTTCTATAGAATCACAGAACATAGAATAATTGAATTGGAAGGGATCTATAAGGTAATCCAGTCCAATCACCTGCTTAATGCAGGAATCTGAATCAAAACAGATTTGACAGATGGTTGTCCAATTTTCTCTTGAATGCCTCCAGCATTGGAGCACTCACCAACTCATGAGGTAATCAGTTCCATTGTTGTACTGCTCTAACGGTTAAGAGGTTTTTCCTGATATTCAGCCTAAATCTAGCTTTCTGTAGCCTGCACATTTTAATGTATTTGAAAAGTGCTATGATATCTCCCCTCAGTCTTCTTTGGCCAAGGATAAACATGCTCAGTTCTTTCAGTCTTTCCTCTTAGAGCTTGTGTTTCACAGAAATGCCATATGAATTGATAGCAAGAACTCTTCATTTGAGGGCCCATGGTAGGGGAGGTGCTGAGTTACCTTTGTTGGGAGGAAATCTAATGTCAACTATTCTTCTAGGACCTTGAATGAACCACGGCAAGCTGATATCCGAAAAGAGTGCCTCCGGCTTTGGGGCGTGAGTAACCCTGTAGAGCAACAAACTGTCATCATGTGTCTCTGATGGCTCTAAACCTTTCTGGTGCATGAAGGCAGCACTTGCACTCCGCACAGAGAGGAGTCAAGAGCGGTCAGAGAGGGTTCTCTGACTTCAGGGGTCATGTTGGAGACCTGCATAGGGACACTCTGGAGAGTCACCTCAGGCCAGTCTTTCGTGAGAAACGAAGAAGAGCCTGACTAACTCAGATCCATGGTCATTGTAGAACAGCATTATTTGCTATTTGTTAATTAAATGAAGATAGTGATTGAGAGTAAAAAAATCGTGGTGCACTGTTGATGATTATACTGACTCCATAAAATAAGTTCTTATTCAGCATTCTCCAGAGAGCTGTAAAATACCTCCCAGGTACATTGAATTGTTTTGGTCCCCAGTACAGTGGTGCCCCGCATAGCGACGTTAATCTGTTCCAGGATTAACGTCGCTATACGGAAACATCGCTAAACGGAAAGAAAAACCCCATAGGAATGCATTAAACCCTGTTTAATGCGTTCCTATGGGGCAAAAACTCACCGTTCAGCGAGGATCCTCCATAGGGGCAGCCATTTTTGCCGCCTCGGTAAGTGAGGAATCCATCCAGAAAACAGCGGGCAGCCATTTTGAACCGCCGATCAGCTGGCATTTCCCTCCAGCTGGCCGGCAGGCGTTCAGAAGGAGCCTCCGGAGGAAGAGGAGAAGGTGAAGTGGGAAACGGGGAGCCAGGCGCCGCTCACCGTTCAGCGAGGATCCTCCATAGGGGCAGCCATTTTTGCCGCCTCGGTAAGTGAGGAATCCATCCAGAAAACAGCGGGCAGCCATTTTGAACCGCCGATCAGCTGGCATTTCCCTCCAGCTGGCCGGCAGGCGTTCAGAAGGAGCCTCCGGAGGAAGAGGAGAAGGTGAAGTGGGAAACGGGGAGCCAGGCGCCGGGCCCTTTCCCTTTCCCTGCCGCCGCCGCCCCGGGAGGAGCGAGCCGGCCGAAGCGCCGCTCGCCACCAGC